TAAAGTGTTGTTATCTGTAGTTCAAGTGCTTAGACAATTCATTTGCGCGCATCAGATACACTTTGCATCGATAAACAAATACAGCAATTGTTCGTGAGCAATTTGTTGTTGCGCATCGGCGATTCTCGCTTCGCAAATTCACTTCGCCATATTGGCTTTAAAATTCATTTACTTATTTATGACGTTTGGCAGGAATAAACACACAGTTTCAGCGCAGCCGAACGGAACGTCGGCTGTTGGCATAGTAAAAACGCGTTGTGAAATTTCTTTGTTTGTGCCCGAGAATTATTCACAATATAATAACCTCAATTACTCTGTCTCATAAATTATGGTTAATTGCAGTCGATTAACACTTCTCATGCTCGTTTGCACCGCCCAAGCAAGATCAGTACAAAACGTGCCACGAATCGACAAAAGGTTCCCGCAATTGAGACGATGGTGATTAAACAACCATTTATCAAAGCGCTTCCATTCGCTTCTGCTTGAATACGTGTTCATTATCGGTATCGTATAATAATAATCCAAATTCGTCATCAATTTTCCGAATGAACGAAACATTTAAACATTCATCGAAATAAATGCAAACGATGTTCATGGATGAACATAGCATAACAACGGAATATAATCGAGTTGCGAATAAAATCCTCGCCTCGCACGAAATGATTGATGAAACATTTGTAGCACAAATGAAATGAAATTCGGTCATCAATGTTAAATATTGAGGAAATTTCTTGGTAAATATGACAGTGACTGTCCCATTTCAAAATGATTTATCAACGCAGAAGCTGTGTCAAACATCAAGTGAAAAGAAGAACAAAAAGGGATTGTTTCCATTCTTTCGATGCAATTGATTCGTTTCAATCAACTGTAAAAGTATTAATCGCCGAACAAACTCGTGCCCGTAATTAAACATATAAATACATGCGAGGCATACACAATGCCACCGTCTCGACGTTTCAAATTTTATTTGTCGTTGAAAGAAACCGATGCCAACGGAGAGAAAAGCAAAATAAATAAGTAGAGACGAGAAGAGAATGGAAAGCGAATAAATCAACAATAAATTCTGCGTCGTGGATTCTTGTTTTCTCTTCGATGGCATGTGGAAAATTGGTATGGTTGGTTGTCGTATTTCTGACTTCGTGTCTCAATCGGATGATATTGGCTTTGCCTTTCTCCTGTTTGTTTATTATTTGCTTCAGCGAATATGCTCCTATTACAATTTCAACTCGAATGATTTATTTAATTCATTTGATTGTTAGTGTGTTCGAAGGCAATCCGGATCGTTTCGCATTTTCTTTGTTTGGAATTCATCGGCAGCATATTTATCCCGTAGATAGCAAAAATGAAAGTGAAGGGATCACAGTAAAAATTTATTTGGAAAAATACCAACGATACACGCGATATCAAATATTCACTTCATGACAGTAAAGATAAGATGAGCTCCGCGAAAGCCTGTATGGCAGTTATATCAGTCTGGATTCAAAAATGAAATAACAAGCCAATACCGAAGAAAGAAAATTCGAGATAAAATGAAGCGCAACAATTTTTATTAATGAAAAAATGACTTGATTTTCGACTTGAAAATGCTTGATTAGTTTTTAAATTGCAACTGTATGCGTGTTGATGTCATCAGCCTGATGAAAAATACATATTTACCGTTTAGCAAAATGCTTGAGTTAGAAAAATGAATAAGCTATCGTTTCGAATATCGTTTTCATCTTTGTTTTTTTTTTTCCTTTTTTGAATTGCCGCCACTTAGAAGCTTATTTCGTGTGACGAAATGCGGCATGATGCGAATTATTTCTCGACGTCATTTGATGGAATCACGCATTTTTCACTCAAATATCTCAAGAAAATGCATATACTCACTTACACGATATCTCTCATTTCATGCCAAAGTGCGAACAAACACAATAACTGCCTATCGTCTTACATCAATAACGTAGTTACCTGTCGTACTGCTTGCTCGTGTCGGTTTGTTCAAACCGCAGCCAGCCGCTTATATTGGACGATGCGAACTCATTTGCATTTATATCGTCGAAATAACTTTTTGCTACACAGCAAATATTTACCGCTGCTATGAAATAATAGTATTTGACATTTTGATGGAGGAGACAAATTGATCCATTTTCGAAATTTCATAGCGGTTTACCGTTTATATTTCACAAACACTGAACGTCACATTATTTGATGTAATTCAAACAGTTTGCAATGATATCCACTAAGGTCAACACAAATTGATGAGAGCTGTATATATGCTTTTTATAGTTGAGGTTGGAAACATTTCGATTTATTTGATGTGATCCAATTTATTGTGTGTGCTTTTTCTCTCTCTCTCTCTCTCTCTCTCTCTCTTTCTCTATCCGCAAGGCATTACATTATGATCGTTGCAATCTAATTAAGAGTTCCAGTGAGTAAAGATTACAAATCGACTCCGGAGAAACATCTATTTGGCGCAACACAGTGAAATCTATGGCATTGTATTTATTTGGTTGTTGTTGTGTTTTCCATCAAGAATTGTAGTCGTATTTCGCCTCAAAGCATCCTTAATGAGGTCGATGTGTTCAGAAATATTTTGTTGACTCTTGTTTTCGATGCATTATGTTTGTTCCTGTTCTGTCTCTGGGGAAGTTTTCCAATAGAAGCAGCTTTGATATTACATTTTTCATTCTTTCTTTGTTCGTACCACTGTGAATTCACATCAGGAGACGGCGCGTAGAAAGCCTTTTCGCCACACATCGACTTGATAAAATGCCATTTCTTTCTCATTGGATTTCATATTTGTTCAAAGCAAGCGGATCTCAGGTGGATGCTTGATTCGGAATTGACGTCATTCTCGATGAATTTCCGAAAATATGAATGAAAAAAAAACTTCATTTTTCATTTGTTTGCTCACATTGAAGCGAATTCATGTTGTTACCTGACAAAGACTTATTTTTGAAGCGAAGAAAATCGGTGGCATTTGTTCGAAAAGCCCTCCCGTTGGGACTGTAAAGCCGAAAACTTCATACAGCACAATTTATTTTTTATGACATTGACATTCAGCTAAACTGAAATATGAAATTAAAATCAAATCTTATGATGTTAGTCTATTTACAGAAGTAATTTCCGATGTGCTAAGACCAAAAATTGATATTTATATCTTGTGATACATTTTCATTGGGTGTGTGTGCGTGTGTGGTAAAATTTGAAAATGTCAACGCGGTCTATTATAACGGATGCGCTCACAACCAAGATCATGACATTCGCAATCACACGATAATAATGTTACAACCCGCCGCCAACTCGACAATTGAATTTTTGCTGCTATTCTTAGTTTGCCGCAGTTCGCAGTCTCTCTCTCTCTCTTACCACGTTCGCACATATCATCAATGAAATTTCCCAAGGCATCGTACATTGCAGAATGTACGTTGGTGTATGTGATAAATTTTGATATTTTATATAAATACTTGCACCGTTTGCCAACGCTACCATTTATCGTAATTTATTTATGTGTCTTCTCGAAACAATCTAAATTTCACAACATGATTGTTTTCGCCACACTGACATATCGCCTTCCTCAACCTCTTTATTAATATGAAGCACCAATGTTGCAATTTTCTCTATCAATTTATGTGACAACATGAACATTTTTATTTTCAATCAGAAGAGCGGAACCCCAGCAACCACGACGATGACGATGGAAACAGTTCGAACATGAGATTCCATATATGCGTCCAAGCAAATTATGCGACGATGCTGGTTTTGATCTAGGTTTTGAATCGAATTATGCTGTTTGTCAAAAGCGTTCACCCCGTTGAATATGACGTCATTGCTGAGTATTGCGATTTTAGAAACATAATCAAACCTTTCTACGTTGATAACAAGTGCGTCATTGGAGTTTGTGATGTAGCGATGAAAGAAAATGGTGAATTTTCATTTCGTTTGTTTTTCTATGGGTGGTTTTTTACAGTTAAATTTCTTTGTGTCCATTGCGTCGAGATACACAATTGAATTATGTGTGAGGCGGATGGAGGCGTGAAAATGAATGTGCTTTATCGTTCGATACATCTGCCGAGTAATGCTTAAATTATCGATCATGATTCCGTCCCTTGTGCACAATACACGGGTCTGAATATCTGATAGCAATTGTCATGATTTTAATGGCGGTGCCTTGTGATATGATTGTCGTTTAGAGTGAAGTTGTGTCGGTGTGATAAGTGTCGTTCGCTCGCTTGATTGGCTACAATAACAACAATTCCAAATGACTGATAAGCATCTTATTGAAATGTGCTTACAATTTCTATGAGTGTGCTTTGCGACATGGATTCGAACCATATAGCAGCGAATGTATCAATACCAACAACAACAAAAATCGGTCAAAGCCCAGACTTTAAGAGCATTAACAATGAAATCGAGACATGTCAAATTGCCAGCTCAATTTAAATTGTAATCGTCGACATTTTCAAATAAAATGTAGTAACCATTGTTATTTGTGCTTCGTATGGAAATTTTGATGGTTATTCCATAAAATGCACATTGCGCTAGCGTTAGCGGAAAAAAACTTGTTCAAGTGCAACAAACCATCATCGAAAATGTTGCGCAGTTTTGCCTGATACGCGATAAGACATTCCAGCCGAAGTCAGGTATCATCAGAAATAACAAACATAAATTCATTCAGCATTTCGCACAAAGCGATATAACCTTTTTCCACTCTCTTTTGTACCAAGGTTTATTAACTTTGTTGACTTGGGTCTTATCACTGTGGTAAGCGTATGTATGCGTGTGTGGGTTTGAGTTGATGGATTTATTTCGGATCATCTAATCAATTATTTCGAGTCTTCACAAAAACTTGATAGATACATCGACCATATTTGATAGATTTACATTGTGAAGTGGTAGAATCCACTCGTTCGCATGCCAAACAAAAGCATTTATACTCATTTCATTTTTGTGTTTCCTTATTTCTCCATTCATCTTTCTCTGTATGTTACTCAAACGATGCTTCTCTGTTGGAACAGCCGGAGGTCTTTGATGAAATCGATTTGCTGAATTTATGCTTATGTGAGTGCAGCACGAAAAACCAGAACCACAGCTTTCAGGTAAGCAAAAACATTTACATTATTAGACATTTTGTGTCGATTTGTCTTCCATAGGCTGTGTTTGATGTCGGTTTTTCCTTTCGGGCTATATTTTCTTTCGTGTCATGTTATTCTAACAAACTGAAAAATTACTGCCACCCCAGGCTCTGAATGTTGCAATGAATAACAAAAGAAACCTTTTACTTTTTCATAGGGGAAAGAGCTTTTTGCCGAATTCGATTCACTCGACCAAAAGTTTGCTTTATTCACCAACGGAAATTTCGATTTCAAGATGAGAATGGCAAATACAAATTATTGATGGTTGGCAACCATTGGTTGCTATTCGAAATGTTGTCAATATCTCTTCCAATCCGACTTAGTTGGTTCCAAATACTGTTGATGTCAATCATCGTGAATATCTAAACCGCGTCAGCCGCCCCGAAAAAAAGCTTGCGATCAACAACTAAATAACTAGACTACAGAATGTATAAACTTTATCGATTGGAATGACAATGACATGGCAAAAAAAAAAGTTCGGAAAATCAAAATAGAATATTTGATTTTATTTATATGTAAAAATCAGGCGATAAACGGTTTTTAAATTAAGTGAAATGTCACGAATCGGCAATATGTGTGTGTTCGTACTTTCATGAAAGCGCTTTGCGACGCGCTGCTTTGAGCTGAGTTTTCATGTGTTATATTCATGAAACGAAGCAACAAAATCACTTTTATTTTGAAATAAAGTGTTTTCTCCACCAATAAAACGAACATTTGCATCAGAAGCGCATTGCAGACACCCAGTACCGGCTCGTTTTATTATCGAACATAATCTCATTGGTGCTCTATGAGTGACACGCAACAATAAAAATTCCTTTTGCCTATACATATATAGCCCGAAAGCCGTAACATTCTACTGAATATATATCGAACACACGGAAATGACTTTTCTTCTTCCACAGAGATGACTGAAGCGCACCGAGTGACCGAGCAACGGCCGCACGGACACTGAGTTTGCGTGCTTAAAACATGCTCAGTGCGATATTGCGCTGCAGCACAAACAAACCCACTCCATGAAGAGAGTATAAGCGCACCAACGGAGTGCGCTACACCGCACTCGTACACAACGAAGAAACAATAGAGAGGATATACAAAGAAAGAAACACAAAGAAAAGAATAAGACAATACACACTCAACTCTTTATATGTGTGTATAAACCATAATAGGCAACAGAGTTAGAGTGCGCACACATTTCTTAACAACAAAGTCAGAGTGCGCACATAAACTCATAACGAAGTGAGTGTAAACGCACAGAGCAGAAAACGACTCTCAGTTGAGTTGCTGAATACGCTACTGAGCGTGCGCTTAGTCATCTCTGTTCTTCCATTTTACGAATTGTCATAATTCCAACGCATTCTCGCATTCGTTTACTGCATTGTAACGGAAACATTTCTTCCCATTTGGATCAGAATATTGTTAAGCGCTGTAATTGTGTGTGCAATAAAGTTTATGAACAATTTATTGCTCGTCAATAGTAATAAATTCAGCATGTGTAGAAACGAAGAGAAAGGGAGAAGAGAAATCCAGTGATTTGGTTGTTAAACCAAAAGGCAGAAAATTTCACTACAATGGAATTCAGACCGTAGCTTCTTTCGAAATGCACTGACGTAATTGGAATTCCTATAATTTGCAAGTGATGGCTATAAATAAACTGATACTCAGAATGTGGAAGTGTATCAATTGCCTGCCTCGTTATCGAGAGCTACTTCATGGATATTTACCACTGACATAATATTGCTGCGGAATCAGCTGTACGCTAATTTTCCACATTGATGATGTACTCTTCGTTAAGTCATCGCATTTCATGCCACTCTCTCTCTCTTTCCCTTCACCACGCGCTCTATCAATAATCAACTATGCACAATCAATTAAAATAATGAGCGCTGAGTCGTCATCAAACTTAAGTTCGCAGAAATATGAGCAATGAGCATTGATAACAATGTTTGTTCAACGTATAAAATCAAAATTGATGCGAACGGCGTGTATAAATAGAATGCACGGAGAAAGTTCATGTTTTGCTATTGTTCGATATCGATATCGATTTCATAACATTAATTATTGTGAATGCAGTGTTTTTGCATTGGCCTCGAAATTTTTAGAGGCTAAAAATACGAATTTCATGGGAAATGTTTTCGAAATTTGGCGTAATAAAAAAAAGTGCTAATGAAAATAACCATGAAATCTAGCCTCGAGTCGAATAGCTTAAAATGCAAAAAATGTTTTGATGTGTACAAACTAAGCACTCAAAATATCATAGACAAACACGAATTTCATTTCAATTACAAACTTTTCCGGGTCGATCCATCCATTTCGGTGAAAAAATGGGTCCTAGAAATTATCTAGTTGGTTCTATCTAGATTCATCCCTTTAATTAAATTCGAAAACTTTTTGTCTACTCCCTTTTGCCCCTTTTTCCAAAGGCGAATATATATTCATACATTTATTGTGTTTGACCCAATGGAAAACACTTTTCACAAAGGGAGGAAAATCTTTTTCAAAACTTTTCCATTGAATGTGAAGTCAAGTGAATGGAAAACTTAAATGACTTAGGATGGATTAATTTTAGAATGGCCTTTGGTCGTGCGTAACTTGCTTATGGCTCAGTTGGTTTCATGGTTTGTTGTAAACGAATGAATTTCTTCACCAATGGAATGGGTCTGTTCGTCGGATTGATAAATTAATGGAGACACCAGAATGTATTGCCGTACGGTAAAAACAATACTCATCAGTCTGAGATAGACGCTTAAAGCCATACAGAGTCGTCATTTATTTCTGAATCGAAAAATGTTGGATACAACCCAAACGATCTAACGATCTTCAATGGAGATCGAATTGGTCAACTCAAAGATTTATGGCAAAGAAGAAGAAGAAGAAAAAGAAAAAAAAACTAAGAAAACAAATGTCAAAAAGATATTAAAACTTTCCTTTGATTTCCATGGAATTGAGATAATGGAACATCGTACAATGTGTGAGCTGTATCAATTCATATAATGTATTGGAGGGTAAAAGATTGGGACAGATGCTGCCATATTTATTATTGACAGCTTAACATTTTTCGTATTGGGTACGGGAATTTTTGTTAAGCGCTTGGAAGGTGGACCAAATGGAAAAGTTATAAATCAGATCAGCAACGATGGAAGACTCGACAAATTTAATCATTATAATGAAAAAACAACAACAACAACAACTCAGAGAAAATTTAGCGGAACAATGATTCCGATTTATCGGTATTAAAACCAATCGGAATGATAAATCGGAATAAAGGTTCCGAAATTCCGATTTATCGGTATTCTTCAATGTAAATTACAAGTAATTTGCTACAAGTAAAATCGGAATCATTGTTCCGCTAAATTTTCTCTGAGAACCAAAGACTTCATCAGCATAATGGACTTATTCATTCAATTTAGATGAATTTATCATATTCTTTGTTCGAAACAAACAATTCGACTGATGGATATTCCACAAAATGAAATTGGTTTTGTTAACTTCTACAGATTGAAAATTATCGAGTGTTCTCTTCTGTTTGAATATCATATGCATACACACATATGGGATAGGTATTCGAGACATTATTCATGCAGATCTTTGTTTGGCTTTCATGATGCGCGTTTTCACAGTCGGCTGCATATTGTCTCGTCAGTTGGACAACAAACTTAAGTCGAGGGAATTTACATTGCAATGATGTTGTTGGCATGTGTGCTTTGCTATTCATTAAATTCTACACATGCCATTTTGCCGGCAACATTTTTAATAAAAGATATACGTAGATAAATTTACAACTCAAACACATAGAGGAGAGCGTTGTAGATTTTGTGCATGGCTGCGAATTTTTGGGGTGACAAGGTATATTTGAAGTCATTGTACGAGAGAGAGAGAGAAAGAGAGAGAGCGCAGCATGGAATGTGCGTAGCCGGAGTGTTTGAAGGTAATTAGCAAAATTACGAAATATCGACAGAAAATGGTCATACGAAGGAGACAAAGAGATGGGGTCGTTTAACGACACAGCACCGTGTGTGGTGGAAAGGCAAATAAAAAAAGGTCACTGCGCTCATTTATGCCAAAATAAACACTAGATAAACGCTGCTGATATTGGTACATCAACTCTTTGCATAAGCGACACACAAAACATGTGGATGAGCTTTGAATTTCAATTGTACGGTATTTTAGCGCACAAAATGAACATCCATTCTTTAATGCAGCGACCATGGCAAATGCTATGAAGCGAGAAAATAAAACTGTATTGAAATCATTGGCATATCGCAAATGACACTAAAACATCCAACATAAAAGCCAGAACCAAAACTGAAATATGCACACAGTTTTATTTGCATTCGTACACATGCATAAATTGCTGAAACGAGCGGTGTGAATAAACAAGACTAGCGAATCAAATATTTCTAGTATTTTCGTTCACATATTTTATTTTATGGCAAATTGCAGTTGACGAATGTGAGTTTGGCGGGAGTGAGATGACAACATACAGAAGAGAGAGAAAAAAACGTTGATTCAAAAATAGAACGGACGTGAATTGAAGGTTTTCAATAAAATACGTTGTTGGTTTTCCCGTTTTGCATCGACAGTTCAATGGCGATGGAAATATTCATTCTTGTTTTTTATTTCAATCTTATCGGGAGCCACATTCAATGAATAAATGAAAACGTTCAGAAATGACAAACGATTTGCATCGCTCCGGCTACGCCATGGATTCTATGGAATGATATCCTATTCAGAATTACAAATTGCGTGCAAATATTGCGAATGCCAACATGGGTATATACCATCAACATGTTGACTGTTTTACATCACAATGAAACTAATTAAAATAAAACAAAAGTGGATCAGGTTGGGTAAAATAATGAAAATTCCATGCATAGCAAATATCTGAGTTCGGTTTAAAAGTTAAATTCAATGAGAATGACGAATCAAATGCTTCGCTACCGCCACCACCACCACACCACCGTTTG